AAAATGAAATGACAAATTCAAACCCTGTCTCAAAAAAAACTAAAAAAAAAAAAAAAGAAATCACTGAAAATGCAGACAGAAGTTCCCAGGGGGAGCATTTTCAAATAGACCCAGGGATCTGCATCCTAAACAGGACTGGCATGAGGAGCGTATTTAGTGTTAATCCTGATTCAGTTTTGCTTATGTTTTTTTTTTTTTGTAGTGTTGGCTTTTAGAAATTGATATTTAAAAAAAAACATCATGATGAAGTCATTTAATATGAATTTGTAGTGACTCAAACTTATGGTGCTGAAGAATCTTAAAATTCTGTTTAGTGAAGCCAGGGGTTCCACCATGTCTGATTTCCCACCACTGCTGACACCATGAAATATTTATCAAGGATTCAATATTGTTTCCTTCAGACCTGAAAATATGCTAAATTCAGCAATGATTTAAATGTATTGTTATTCTTTTGTGCAAAGGGAATAATAGGACATATCTATGAAAATAATAAAACTCACTTTTAATAAACATACCAGAATTTTAACATGTACTTGGTTTTAACTATTAAAATTTCCCCTTTTAGAGACATATTTGATGTTTCTTCATCCAAAATGCTTGTGATGCCTTGAAAGCCACAATCTGTCCCACTGGCCAGCTGGTTTGTAACTTGTTTCAAATTACTCATGGCTATATCCAAAATGCTCAGAAGATAATGGTTTCCATGATTATTACTGTTGACAACATATTACAGTTTAAGTACAAATCAAAATTAACTTCATGCAGAGACATGCTATTTTAGGAAACATGGGCATGGATTTTCATCTACTTTGATGGCATTACAGTTTTTTGATATTCATATTAGATATATTCATCTAGCTCAATAATTAATTGTAAGTCTCAAAGGGTACAGAGCAAGGCAGCTCAATGATGTATTTCTCTTTTGAATTTCTCCTTCCCCCCATCGCTGCATCCTAACACAGATCTGAGGCTGGTGCTCAGAAAATTGTTGAATTAAAATTGTATGAAATGAAATGAACTACACACACACACATACACACACACACACACACACAGACACACACACACTATGTATATATAATATATATTTATTTCCATCTTTCTATGGATTAGGCCATATTTCTATTCATTTAGATATATGTTAATAATCTTTGATGATTTCCTATAAATTAAGGAATCATTCAATAAAAGTCATAGCACTTTACGCCCATTTCTGTTGATACTGCTTTGCATTTTTTAGTTTTAGAATTCCTGCTAGCCCAGCTTCTTTCTGGGAAAAGAACCGTGGATGTTTATATACTAACACAGAACGAACTGTGGTATGTTGTAAGGAGAATCCCCTCCCCCAGTTCAGGTTACAAGGCTAATAACATCAACCTTTAATTAAAGACAATCACCACGGTGTCATTAGAGGTCCAGACTGATTGGACCTTGCAAAACTAGACACCCTTGTATGCCACAGATTGACTAAAGGACCTTTCATGTTTAAGGATGTGACGTGCAAAAATTGGTTGGAACTGAAGCACCCACTGAAACAATTATGTCCAAGCTCAACGTGGCAAAGCTGATAAAGTTTTGGTTTAAATACCTTGAAGCAACAGTGAATTGAGAGTCTTGTGCACTCCTTTGGCTTCTGCAATTCAGGCACTGAGAAAGGGAACCTCTGAAGTGCTGTTAAATCTATACCTGTGGGCTGGCGTTCTTTGTTACAAGTAATGACAGAAAATAAGGAGAAATGAGACTAACTTAAATAATCATTTCCTAGAATTAGAATTTGGATATTCTCAATCAGTGATAACATTTTTAATACATTTTGGCTAACATATTCGTGAATCCACTGACAGCGTTGCTTTTATTTGATGGAAAAGAGATAGTGTGTTCGTGCTTCTCTGTTAGTTCAGATTTGATTCCCCTTCCGATACTCCATCTAGCACATCCTGCAGGAGCACACCTTCGCTAGCCATGGACGATGCCTAGGCTGACCTAGAAAGAAAGCAGATATCTGGGTTACAGGGTGCAATATAGAAACAAGAAGACAGACAGAAGGAGGAGAAATGTGGGGAGGGGAAGTAAAGGAGCAGGAAAGGAAGGAGCGTACTCTTATGACGTCTGCATTCCCTCCCCACCCTGAAGTAAACCACAATATATGGTAACTAATATCCCTGGCTTATAAAGCAGGTACCTACATTTTAATGCCACATGTTACCAATAGATTTTAATCATCCCAATAACAAAGTCTTCCAAAATGATGAACTTGGCTTGAAAGAGGCAAATTCTCCCTCATTTTAAGCAGCTTAATTGTTAGAGCAATCTACAACCATGGTTTCAGTAACAGACTTTATAAATATTCGCTGAAGAATGGATTAAGTTGCAGAATCAAAATATGTATCTCTCAAGTATTTAGGTAGTTATCTGTGTAGGCTAACAAAAAATGAGGCAGGCGGGGTGGGGGGGATAAATACTGTACCATATATTGTTACATGTATATATTCGTATGAATCAGCCTATGCTTTTACGTTGCTTTAAAATTTATTCTGCTGGTGTTTACATTTTGTCTTTGAGTAAATTAATTAAAACATTGGCGTCACTAAACAAAACCAGTAGGAACTTATTACTTTATTATTGACATTGTTCTTCCTTTTTCTAGAACAAGTTTCAGCCCCAGCCATAAGCCTGTGTTTGGTGGCTATGATTGATGCTCAGCTCACACTGTCCACATTTTCTCCCTCATGCATCATCATCAGGCCCCTCCAACACGACCGTCCTGGAGCTGTTCTACTTTCTGATTCTTGGCTTTTCCTGGTGATTCATGAGACAGAGTAGTAAAAAGAAAAAAAAAAAATCTCACCTTGGCTTTTCACAATGTATCATCCTCTGTGAGAATTCTAGTTTTGTTCATCAGATTCATGCAAATGTAATATTGATTGACAGTGATGTATATAGATCCACATGCACAATGTGCTACACAGAAACCACTAAAATGTTCTATTAACGGCAGAACACATACTGATTATAAACTACTTTGCAATTGATGTGAAAACTTAGTGCATTTTTTTTTGCATTTTCAAACTCTCTCTTCTCCACTATTTTTAGCTGACACTCCGTGTGTGTGTGTGTGTGTGTGTGTGTGTGTGTGTGTGTGTTCGTGTTTATGCATGTATGTGTAGGCCAGAGGTTAATGCCGTTATCCATCTCCATGTTAATTTTTGAGACAGGGCCTCACTGAACCTGGAGCTCTCTGATTCAGTTAGCCTGCTAGGCCAGCAAGTTCCAGGGGCCCACGGTCTCTACCTCCCCAGCAGCTGGGTTACCCCTGGCTTTTCACACAGATCCTGAAGATAAAACTCAAGTTATTGTGCTTGCATAGAAAACACTTGACTGACTGAGCCATCTACCCGGCCCTGAAGTTATGCCGTCCCTAGAACATTAGGAGGCAAAATTATTAATTTTCTACACCAAGGTCTCTCATTAACACTAGCCTAAAAATTGCAGACATGGCCCTATAATTTTCATCATGAGTGTGAAGATGAGGGGCAAGAAGTCTTTGCTAAAAGGGTCTGGAGGATAAGGCTGTGCTTTACCCAGAAGTTAACTAGATGATCTTGGAACTATTTTTGTGATAGCAGCTTTTAAATTCAGAAGCAGCCAAGCTTTAAAAAGCCACAGAAGGAAGGTCTAACGGCCCTAAATCCACAGACAGGGAGCTACATGTTCATGCTGCTTCTATTACTGGACATCAACCTTCTCCCCACAGGCTTCAGGAACATAGAAATGCCAGGGAAGGAGTAGGTAGACTTCACAGAGTCAGAGACACAAGCTCCAATATGGGATTCACCTGCGAGCCAAAACTCACTGCTGATGAATTATTTCAAAGAAAAGACATGTCCAAGGGTTACTTTCCCCTTTAGACCAGACCTCTAGGTTCACCAGGAAGGTCAAAATAGCAAGAATACTCTGGCTGACAGGTGCTTCACCAACCTTAATGGACTCCAGGCGCTCACCTGGGTATAAGGCTTGAACCAAGAAAGATCAGAACGGCAAGATGAGTGAGGTACAGCCCTCCAGAGAAGAGGTGAGCGTACCCTGCAAGGCCTCTGCGCTGTGACCCATATGCAGAGTGGCCCATTTATAAACAGTTCCCCCTGGCCAGCTCTAGGCTGGAGAGCAATGTCAGTGAAAATTAACCCTCTGTCTCCAAATGCCACTCAGGAAGTCAACTGTATCACTGTATGCAAAATTTAAAAATTTCATCTCATGAATGGCATTTAAAAACTAGCAGCACTTAAGATATAACTTCACGTTTTTTCAACAATCTGTTTCAGCTTCTCCATGCTACCTTGCCTTTCCTGCTTTCTGCCTATGAAGGAGGGCTGAAGTGTTATGTAGCTACAGAAGCCAGAATAAGGTGATAGCTTGAAAAGATTTAAAAACAAAGAGAGTACTTGGATAGAACAATAGAGGAAGCGATACTCGTGGTATGGGAAAATCATTTCTGTTTTCCTTTTCTAAATACTCCTTAAACATTTACTCTATTCATTTAAAATGAGGTAATAAATATATTAGTCAGTTAGCATTACATTAAACTACGTAAGGTCAATATCCATTACAGCTAGAAGGCTGAGCACGCTCAGCTTTGTAACAGGGGGATTTTGCACATCCATGAAGATGTTAAAGGGAGTTTCAGATGGAGTGATGACATTCCATGGGAAAAGGGAAAGAATGATGGCCCCAGACTTAAGCATACCCCTTCTACACGACATCATTGTAAATTTAGCTACTGGCATACTTCTCTTAGTTAGGTTCTCAAATATCACCACTTCAAACCTCCTAAATCGTTTTTTCCCCTATGTAATAAAGCTGGTTAACCTTTCCAGATAAATGCTACCCCCACCCAGTAAACAGAGGTGTATACTTCACCAGGATGATGCTCATCATTGTAGGGCCCCTACACTTTGAGTCACTTTAGACTCTGAAGTTCATCTTTGGATTGTCATAATTTCACAGCTTCTGAAAAAGTCCCTCTATGTCACCAAATTCCCATATGAAACACAAAACTTATTCTCTTTCCTTGTTTAGTTCCAGGAATTTTGTCTCTCAGATGCTTCTACTCTGAGGAAATTTAACATCTCATCAAAATCTTTTTCAGCAAACAAGCCCCTCTGTCAGAAGTGTTTTAATTTCTTATTACAGAATTTTATCCACACGAAGAGTAATAAATAATTCATGCTACCACCTCTTTGTTGTGTGTCCCTGAACTGCACAGGCCTGGGAAGCTGACAGCTGTGTCAGGACCAGGCACCCAAGATCTGACATGACAAGCAACTAACAAGTTCCTTTTAGTTTGTCCCAGAAGAAGACAACAGTCCAAAGTGCAGAAAGACATCCCGAACCAAAATGAAACAGCTTCTTTCTTTTCCCCTAAGTGTTGGCTCTGAGCCGCTTTCCGACCCACAAGCCCTGGTCATTTTACAGGACTGCCCAGCCCCCTTTCCTCCTCACACTCGCTTGGCCATTTACGCCTGGCTACGGATCAATATGAGCAATTCTTGGAGAAATACGATGTCTCCATGACAACCAAGCCACAAATTCTCAGTGGAAGGCAGTGAGACCAGTAGCGAACCCTCCAGAGGTTTCTGGGCCTATAAGGGTAAGATGTCTTAAAATGCAAGGATGGACAGAGGAAAAAGCCAGAGCAATTCATCCTTTATTACTGGTTTAATGATGTCCGATGTATGGAACAGTACTCACTCTATAAGATTCTCCCCAGCTCCTGTATTTTCTAATTGCTCTGTTTTTTTCTTTCTTTCTTTCTTCTTCTTCTTCTTTTTTTTTTTTGACATGTTCTTTTGTTCACGACTGTCAGACGGTAAAAGCCATCTGAATTTCACTCTCAGTCCACTTTTATTAAGGCATGGCGGACAGCATCATGTTGATGTATCATGTCAAAAACAGTGAGTCCTTAAGTAAACACCTGACTCCTGATTTAACTTCCTGACAAAAACTGTAAAAACCTCATCAGAATCAGACAGTTTCAATCCTAACCACAAGTAATCTAAGAATAATCTTTAGCATAGACAGTTAACACCACCATCACCCTCTCCTTTTTCAAGTGAAATGAACTGACATTTTCTTTGGGGTGTTATGCCAGGGAGCAGGGCTAATTTGTTCTTTAATAGTTTCCGTCGTTGTAAAAAACACGCTGTCTCTCTGTGCCCTCAGATGCAGAGGAGACAGCATGGCTGGGATCGGGCACGCAGCTGCAGCTCATCTTGTAAGGGCTCCTCGTGCAGTGGAGGGGGCTGATACATACTTGCCATCACCACTGGGCCTTTTGGGGTTCCAAGACGACTTAGGGGGCCTGACATAGATTGCAGGCTACACCTTTCACTGAAAATTAAATCTCAGTATCTCTCCTCCGGGAAGGATCAGGGGACTGTTTGCAGCTGCCCCCCTGTCAGGGAAGGCGACACAATTTGGAAATCTCTTAACTAAGCTGACAGCCTACCGAGAGGATGAATCAAAAATATGATACAAAGATCAGCGCACAGAGATGTGAGAGGGTGGAGGGACACCGTAGCCAGAGAAAACAGGAAAGAAATGTCCAGCCCGGAGAGAGAGCGAACTCTTTCAGTCATGGTACTGAGGTGGGTACTAGCACCTCAGGGCTTGGAGGGGCCCAACAATGTCATTCAATTTTTAGTAACAAGTCTTTTTTTTTCTTGTAATTAATTAATCATTAAAATGGGCATGCTTCAGACCAAGACAGAATCAAAAATCCCAGCCAAGCTGTTCTAGCTGTCTTTTCCTGGTACATTTCCCTACCTTTCCTTTTCACAAAGAGAATATCAACGTAAGCAACTTTGACACAGAGTAAATCTTACTTCCCAATAAAGGGTTCCGACAGTCTCTCCCATTGTTTGACCACATCCACCCTTGTTTTGCTAGAGCGCCTTCCTCCCAGTCAGAGTTCTGTTTGAACAGGGAAAGGTAAAGAGATTCTAGAGGTGGCGATTGGTTCCTCTCTGCTCATCCCTGCATTTCTGCCTTTCTCTTGCTAGATCTCATTATTTGAAATATTCGAAATGTCAACATTTCTCTAGTTTCCAGCTTCTGTGTGGATTAAGCAGTTTAGCTTGGAATTGATAATGAACTAATGGTGTCAGCTTCCTTTCTCTGTCGTAACGTCTTTGTACTTTGTCCAGCTGAATTCTTGATGAAAGAGGAAAAGATAACAGCCCCACACCGTGACCTCCTGGGGGGGGGGCGTTAATTTGAGAGTGCAGCTGTTAAGAGCCAGCAGCCTTCCAGTGTCCTCCCCCACACACTCCCAAGGACCCCAAAGCTGTGTCAAATTTATCATTTTATACTTGACTATGTTTAAATGGCTTCCACCTGCACTCTCCGACTCTTCCAAGACACATCTGTCAAGAACGTCCTCGGTATCTTGGAAGTTTGCCGAGTTCAAGTCGCTGCCATGCTTGACCGGACTGACTGAAGCTGTTAAAAAGAGAGAAGGGAGAGAGAAAGACAGCCATGAAAAAGTAGCAGTGAACACCATTAGACCACTTCAGTCCCACCGATAGTGTGGGGCACTCTATGGAAACACAAATAATAAATTGAAATAAAGTGTATCCTCTAAGTATTTATTGGCAGACACGTAATTAGTTGAAAAATCCATAGATGTGACTTTATCTCAGAAGAAAAATAAGCGCCTGGCATCAGCTTAAAAGCTACACAGCTACAAAGTGACAAAGCGAGGCTTTCGAAGTAGAAATCGTATTTTTAATGCATAAATCTAAAACAATATAGTCAATTAAGAGCACATGGGCACAGAGCAAAGAACATCCGCCAACTCAATCAGAAAGCCCAGCTCTGCCCCATGGTGTGGCTCTTTCTGTAGCTCAAATTTCAGGAATGGAGGACTCTTTGTCTGCACCTCAGCTCTCTTTTCAGCACCCCAAAACCCACGGTACCAAACGCATGCACATGAAAAGTCTCACACAAAGGAGATCTTCAAGTATAGAATGAAGGC